GCACATCAGCCCAAAAACACCATACCAACAGTGAAGTTTGGAGGTGGGAACATCATGGTCATTATTACAAATAACTTCATTTCTGGACATTTATGGTTTGATTTCTTTGTATGTATGGATCACTTGGGTTGTTACCGACATCWGGTGAAAATTTCATGTCATTAGCACCTCTAGTAATATATTTACTGAGAAAAACGGTGACGTGTTCAATATTTTTTTACCCGCTGTATAAACCACTCAATTCAGCACCAATTTGGAGTACATTAAAGTTAAAATAAATAGTCTGATTTGATAAAGTTCAACCTCAGCAATTTCAACTGTTTTTTGCTACCAACAGGACACTTTTGTCAAAACTTTGTCACAGATAATCCAGTCACTTAAGAGAAAATTAGTAATGGAAGATGCTCAAGCTAGATGTTTTTGTGTAGAAACTCAAACTACATTCAGACAGTTCTTTGTTTTTATGTGTCAGTGTCGATTTATTTATTTTTTATAAAAAAAGATGAGCATTGGAGCATCTAGTTGTATTTGGTTTAGATCAACTTTTCCTTCAGTTCTTGTACTCCCATTGTCACCATGATGAGTAAATATCTAAAAACTTCCAGTAACATTGGTGTGATTCTTAACTAAATACTTTACAGTTTTCCACTTCACTCCCACAAGCAAAATAAACTGCCAGGACAGCTGATGTCCTAAATATAAAACTATTCAAAGCTGATTTTGTCTTCGAAAAGTGACAGCAACAGAAGAATAATCCACCCGGTCAGAATGCCAGCATTCTGCAGGACAAAGTTCAGCCACTTATTCTTGCTGCTGCCATGGATCAATGTAGGGAGCTGAAAGGATGACAAGGAAAATATTTAGTATTCCTGCTATATTAATGTCAAATTCATTGTCTGGTTTACTGTAACACTCACCATATCAGCCATCCCCACATATAAAAAGAGTCCTGTAGCTACAGCTGCAATCCACTGTTGGGTTGCAAGATCTGTAGCTACAGACAGAGCAATATAGAGTCCAATAAATGAGGTCAAGGCACTGCCCACATTTAAAAGCAACGCCCTGCGAACAGACAAGCCGCTATGGAGCAGAATGGCAAAATCCCCTGCAGAGAAATAATGTTTGTGTTACAGAGTCTTCATCTCAAACACGTAAAGTCTGTGTGAGTGATAGTTACCGAGCTCGTGCGGTAGTTCGTGGCAGAGAACAGCCAATGATGTGGCCAGACCAGACTTCCACGACATGGAGAACGCTGCACCCATCGCTAATCCATCCGCCAAGTTGTGGATCCCGTCCCCAATAGTTATCATGTACGGAAGCAGACGCTGCTCTGTAAATGCAGCCAGACACAAAATGATAGTTTCTGTTAAGTCTGTAGACTCKTTAACTGTCCTGTTGTGATGATGTCATGTGTTGTTTTTTTTTGGAGGTGTTTGTTTCTCACGTCTTGTGCGGCTTGTGAGCTCTGACTGCTCTTTGAGTTCTTCATCAACCTGAAATATAATAAGGATATTTCATTGAAGAAGTTAACAGCAATAAAATCAACCCTCATAATAATRAAAAGTAATTGTTATTGCCACTGCTATTGTAGTAAGGTCTATTGTGTGCCATTAAATGATGCTACGTACAATCTCATGAGATTTCACAAGATGTGGTAGTTCTTTTAGCTTAATATCAATAAGCATTGGCTAATCAGCTGTGGCAGCCATCTTGAACAGGGTTGACAAATCATGATGATCATCCAATAATTACATTCTGAGACATTTATTAAAATCTATTCAGCTATTTATGAGATATTTTGCTAATATTGCGGATGTGGGTAAAATCACCCACGATGGCAGAATAAAAAAGTCTCACCAGGTCTGCTTTTGATGCCGACAGCGACTTGTCTCTGTGTTTCTTCTCTTGCTGATACATCTCTATAACACCCATGTGGTCACAGTGATGAGGCTTGGATTCRTCCTAAAAGAACGACGAAATGATTCACAACTAAATATCAAAGCTAAAGACAGGGCGTTGAACGCAAGTAAAATTTTGGATGTTTGTCTTTGGTGTTCTATCTCACCCCATGATGATGATGATGATGATCATTTCCTTGTGTGACCATAGAGAAGATGGTTTCCATCAGGTAGAAGATGTAGATGCCACCAATYACAGCCAGCATCTTGTATGTGTAGTCTGGAGTTTCTTCTCTTGAATGTTGGTGACTAGTGTCATCTTTGTGTTCATGTAAACCCAGAAACTAGAAAAAAAATTAATAAATACAGAAACACATTTCTCAAGTTAGAAACTATAGAAATGATCCCTGATTACGCAGAACTAAGATATTTCATATGTATTTGGCATAAAAGGGTTTGGTGATATCAACATTTGCATAGTTGACAACTAAATTTGTTTATTTCAACTTTTTCCTTGATGACATCACTAACTAACCATGGGTATCAAGTGCAGCAGGACATCTCCAGTCAGCGAACCTACAGCCATGCTTATGCAAAACTGGATGCACAACTGGAAGACACTGGTGCACGAGGTACACAGCAGTATCACAATACCAAACATGGACATCAGTGTTATGATCACGTTGGCGATGGTCGCGTAGAGGTATCCTTTGTGAAGACAAGAAGATGGAGATCAGCTTTAAAACAAACAAAAAATAAAAAATAGTAAAAAAAAAAAAACCCTTCTCATCAGGCTTACTGTCAGTCTTGGAGAGCTCATCTGGCGTCACTGATTCTGTGACGTCTGTGCAGGCTTTGCTCAGGATCTGCTGGATGAAGGCAGGACTGAGGCGGCCCATTGCGGACCGGTCCATCACAGAGGAGGCGGAGCTTTGGTCGGCCAAACCGAAGATCTGAACGAGTTCTTCAGCTGAGAAACAGCGCTGTGAGGAGAGGAGGAGGAGCAAACATTTAACTTTTGTTGTGCTATGAGAGAGGAAAACGTCATTTTTTTAAAGATGTAGTCTTTGTTGGTGCATACATGTTCCCAGGTGTTATTTTCATGGCGTTCATAACTGCTCCTCTTCCTCCGAAAGTGATCAGCATGTTTGTGATTCTCATGCTCATGTCCATGCTCATGCTCATGGTCTTCCAGTGGTCCAAGGTTCAAGCTTTTCATGAAAACCTCCAAATCTGCAGACCATGAACCCACACTACAACTGAGCAAAACAGCTTTTTGCATATAAAAGTCATCCCTAATAATCTAACATATGTTTATAAACAAGATGTGCTTGGTTTTGGTGATTTTGCAGGATCGGATCTCTGAAGTCCTGCTGTTATTTACCCTGAACGGTGAAATTTTCTGAACCCATTTGGTGCATGATGTAGTCCAGGAAGAAGCTCTCCTCGGGCAGGGACTGACCACTGAAGCAGTTCCCCAGCAAGGCGTGGTACAGGACCCAGCCCAGAACCGCGCCCACTTCCTGCTTCTGGTCTGCTGACGATGGGTGGATCGTCATCATGATGCTGCTGGCTGTCACACAGCTCTGCTTCATACAAGGAAGGAAAACCAGAGATTAGCAGAAGAGACGTTTACAGCACTGATGTCACACTAAAGGTTTAGAGATCTATTTTACTTCCTTAATGGATTACTGGTTATCTAACATGTTTTATATGTTTCTAAAGACTTATTATTCTTTTACATTTGAATTGTCAGCTGTAGTGGAATACAGCCTCAGTACATGTATGTATGTATATAT